GTAGGGGCGCTGTGGCCCCACTACACATCAGCCCACATCAATGTTTTGGAGTGTCGCACAGTACTGAATGTGATTCAACACTTTGCTCCCGTGCTACAGAATCAACACGTGTTGATTCACACAGACAACATGATGACTGCTGCGTACATAACCATCAAGGGTGTGCGTTCAGCTCAGATGTTACACATTGTGCGAAAGCTACTGAGTTGGGTTCATCAAAACCTGCTCTCTATTAGAGCAGTTTTACATATCCGGTGTTCTAAACGGAGGGGCAGATGTGACGTCCAGGGGCGGCCCACGTCACGTGGACCGGACCCTCCATCCAGACCTGATGTTTTCAGACGCAGCAGAAGTTGGCAAGCAGCTGTGGACCTGTTTGCGACGCGAGAAGAACGCTCAGTGTCAACTATGGTTTTCCCTGAGCCCGCGAGACGATCCATCGCTGGGGGGGGACGCATTTGCTCATAGCCGGTGGCCCAAAACGCTTTTATACGCGTTTCTTTTCCTCCACCTCCTCTGTTTTTTACGGTTCCTGAACCGAGTTCAGGAGGAGGGATTGACAGCTCTCCTGGTGGCTCCCAGCGTGTGAACGCACCATGGTTCCCAGGCCTGCAACGTCTGTTGTTGGGTCGCCGTGGAACTGTCGTGGAGGGAGGATGCTCTCCTTCAGGCAGGAGGAGCGACCAAGAGTTACCCAGAAATAGGTCAACACCTGTGGGTCTGACCGCTGAGCGGTCCCACTTAGAGGATGGGTCTCCCTCAGGAGATAGTGTGCACAATTCAAGATTCACGTGCTGCATCTACCACAGTTCTGTACACATCAAAGGGGACGGCTTTTCAGCGCTGGTGTACAGAGAAGGTTTAGAGGCCACCTCATGCCTTTTAGGCGGCGTGTTGTTTTTCTACAACAGCTGATGGATAGGGAGTTGGTTTTCAGTACGCTTTAACGTACAGTTGCAGCCATCTATTCCTGCCACGAAGGTTTCGGAGACGGAACAGCTTTTAATCACCCGCTGATGAAGCGTTTTTTCTAAAAGATGTTCAGAGACACAGGCCTGCTTCATGTCCACTTGCTCCACAGTGGGATTTAACGCTGGTCCTGCGAGCCCTGATCAAAGCTTCAATTGAGCCTCTGGATCAGGTTTCATTTAAATTCTTGTCTCTTTAAACAGCCCTGCTGTTGGTTTTAACACCCGCTAAGAGGGTAAGTAATTATCTGCCCTCTCTGTTGCTTCGTCATGCCTTAGAATTAGGCTGACGGGCAGCTCAGCTGATTTAAGACCAACCCAGCTTTTATGCCTAAAACATCACGAGCTCTTTTAAATCAAGAGTGATATCGTTGGAGGGGTCTTTTTCCCCCCACAGATCAGAAGAGGAAGCATCTTTTCATCTTCTCTGCCCGGTGCGGGCGTTGACGTGTTACATAACGCACACAGCTGCAATGCGTTTCAAACTCAACAATTGTTTGTGCATTATAGAGATGCTTCTGCAGGTCGCCGTTATCCATCCAGCGCTTGTCACACTGGCTG